CTTGCTTGTTTGTAGGTGACCAAATACTTATTTTCCACCATGATTTGCAAATAAATTCTTTAAAAATCAGACAATGTGATTTTCTGGATTTTTTTTCTCATTTTGTCTCTCTCTCATCTTTTTAAGTGGGAGAACTTGCACAATTGGTGGCTGACTAAATACTTTTTTGCCCCACTGTATCTCTGCTTAATATCGATGCTAAAATATTAACTGCAATGTTAGCTAGGAAGCTATAGAAAGTAATATTATCTGTAATTCACCCTTCTCAAATGGTTTTTTTTTAAATAGACATCTGACAATATTCACCTAGTGATTGATATTATGGATATTGCTGCAAATAAATTGGAATCAGCCACTCTAGTTTCATTGGATGCTGAAAAAGTCCTTGAAATGATATAGATTGAATTTACAAAGTATGTGCTAAGAATATAAGGGTTTCTCCCATCTTTTGTTCATTGGATTATACTTCAGTATCTTCATTCAGTGGCTAGACTTATTACAAATGGATTCATCTCTGTATCAAGTTATATTGTGGTACACAACAAGGATGCCCTTAATTTCCGTTAATTTTCAATTTAGTTCATGAACCATTGGCTTCTTTCATTACACAATCTCAAGATATTAAAGGTGTGGTGGTATTCACCACTGAATATAAATTGTTTTTATACGGGCTGACAATACGATGGCTATCCTTAATAATTATGCAGTGTAATCACCAAAGCTGGTTGAAGTCATGTAGCAATATGATTTATATTCTGGTCATAGCATTAACTGGAAGAAGTCTGATTTGTGGCCTTTGGGATCTACTATACTTTTAGAACAGTGTAAGAGATTCAGATTTATAATTTGTATAGGCTCTATAAAATTCTTGGTTTTACATATTTATTGAAATATATACAATATGTTCAATTAAATATATTTAAATGTACAGATGCAATTTCAGTAGATGTAACTTGATGGTTAAAACTCCTATTAAATCTTTGGGGCAAGATTAACATAATCAAAATCAAGATTAATATATATTTTAAAAGTGATTCCAGCGTTAGATATTTTACACAGATATATAAGTTAATGAGAAGGGCAGGACAAATTCTCTAGGATATCTTTAGCTAAACTAAGGCTATATTATGTTGGCAGCTTTAACCTTCCAGATTCTCAACTATATCATTGGGCTTTTTTTTTTTTACATTTGCGTTTTTTTGAATGAGACTTTTTATAATTATTCTCCTTCTTAGGCTTATCTGGAGAACAAGTGTCTAACACCTTTGAAATACTGATAAATTTTAGGATCCAGTTATACTAAACTGAGACCTACATTTCCTGTCTTGAAAGTTGCCAGACCCATTTGATTATTAATAGGTAAGTAGTTATGTTTTTATCTTGAATTACATAAGAAATTGACATTGTGGAATAACACAAATTTGGTAACTGCAAGGAAGATATTTCTTTGGAGTGCTTGGGCTAAACAAGGGGCCAATGATTTAAATAAACTGATTTCTAATAGTTGTTTTAAAGATATTGAAAGATTGCGTGTTGAGTATGATTTATCTACACTATTCAATTGGAAATATAGAAAATTGAAATATATATTAGCTTAGCAGTATGTCCCAGATGCTCTAGCAGCCACCAAGGTGTTTGAAATTAGGTTCTTTAGGAAATACAGTGCTTGAACAGAAATCAAAAATTTAATTTTATAAGAAATTAAAAGGTAAAAGGAAAGTTAATATTAGTTATATATCTGAATTGTGGAAGGAAGAATTGGAATATCAGTTCTGGAGAACAATAGGTTCAGGTGTTAAGAAATGTAAAATATATTTATTTAAAAATGAAATTAATCAGAAAATATTATTTTGTGTTTATTGGACCCTTCAAAGAATTTTAAAAAGGGATGGACATTGGATTTCTCATACTGATATTGTAAGAGATTTGGAGGTTCTTTAACTCATATGGTTTGGTCTTGTCCAGCTATAGTCTTGTTTTGGTTTCAGATACAGGTAGTCCCGTTTAAGAATGAGTTCTGTTCCCTAGGTCTGTCCTTAAGTTGAATTTGTATGTAAGCTGGAACAGTATTATTGTATAATACTGTATAAGTAATATTGTATCATTAACTCAAACTATTGGGTATTTAACTCAAATTTTGCTACAATGAGCTCCGTTCTTAACTATGGGTCATCTGTAACCCAGGTGTTCTTAACCCAGGGACTACCTGTATAATTCTGGGAACGGATATTATAATTAAGGATCTCAATGTGATGTCAAATTTATATTCCTAAAACATAGAATTTGTCATTATTGGCTCGGTAGGACACAGCAAAGAAAGTTACTCTCCTGATTTTAAGGAATGGATCCAGGATATGAATTCACTATTGAATTTTAAAGTCTCTGAGTTCTAAAGATGAGAAGATGATGTAACATTGAGATTTAATGATAAATTTTAGGTTTGAATTAACTTCATATTGTTATTTATAGTTACTGTATGGGTCTTTTTTCTGTGAATTCTTTTTTTTGGCAGTCATGTTTATTTTAATCACTATAATATTTCTAGGTTTTCTTTTTTCATTGTACATTCATCTTTTTCTTTTGGTGATGTGTGGGGGTTGCATTTCACTATTTTAAAATTAAAATATGTTATTTGAGTATCAGAATTAATGCTCAGAGCATTAAAAAATCAGCAATAACATTTAGAGTTCAAGGCCTGAGATATATGAGCTTTGTAATCTGTATAATAAAATATTCTTCAAGTAAATGAATATGATGCAGATAACAATTGTTTTGGGGCCTTATCTCTCTGTTCTCCCTAGGGTGCTCCCTTGAATGTCTTTGTTATCTCATGTGAAAAATGCATTACTTAGTTCAGCACTACAGCCAAGGAGCAAATTTATGTTTCAAAAGCATGGCAAACAAATATTGTGCCATAATGAACACTTGCTGCACATTTGGGAATATCCAGGTGAATGTTAAACTGACTTGTGAATAAATAAGGGGGCTACTTAGCTCCAACTAAAACCAATTTGATCTGACCACAGCAATAGACTGATGGTAATACCCTCCATTTTCAAATCATGTGCCGTCTACTCCAAAGTAAAAAAAAAAAAGGGTCTAGGATGTATCCTTCTAAGTGAATCAGGGTTGAGATCACTGGGGACAAGCCCTTGGTTGCCATGGTAGCCATGAAAATCTGAACCCCCTCAGACCTTACCTCCATAGAAATTGAAGACCCACAGCACTAAAAGCCAGGGAGATTCCAACTCCAGCCCTGAATGCAGTCCAGCAGCTCAAAAAGGGACAGTGGGGGAGAGTAGATGGTACACCCACATCAGCTTTAATTTGTTCCTACAATCCAGTCTCAACTAAAGGCCCTTATTCCCAATCAACTCTGGGATAGTCATTGCTTAGTCCTCCCAAATAATCACAGCCACTACCACCATCCTGCCTTGTTAGACTGCTGAAGGACTTGCAACTTACATCCCATCATCGGCCCACCAGATTTCAGTAATGCACTCTAGATCTGCACGTTCCTCTGCCACCAAGTCATAGTTGGATAAGTCATCTTCTGTACAGATTTACCAGCAGCAACCCAAGGCCAAGGTGCCCAATGATCTACCGGGGCCCAGGGAAGAGGCCACTGGACCAGAAGCTGCACACAGGTGTGATTTTCCCTTCTCCTTTAAGGGCCCACCTTGTGCCCCCTCCATGCCTCCCTCTGCCAGTCACTCAAAATGTATGCCCTTACTTTGCCACTCTCAGCTGAATTACCTCACTCCCTCTCCCCAGCATTTTATCACTCACCCCACTCAACATCCCATATACACCACCACCTCTGGGGACCATAGCCTGCAGTCCCCACCAGCCATATACTTCCTACCCACCAACATGCTACCACTTCACGGGGAGAAGCCACTGCTTCTGAGGGAGTTGCCTTCTCCGTGTCAGCTCCATGACCGTGTCAGCTCCACCACCACCACCTCCTCATTACATCTCTCTTTTCCCATCAGAATAAAACCTGCTGTTGTGAGGGGAGGGAAATTTGGGTGGAGAAGGACTCCTTTTACATGTGTGACTGCCTCATATTCAGTTTAACTACCATTCCTGTCTTGTAGGCTTCCCCCACACACACTTTTCCCCTCCAATTCATAATTCTTTGGGTGCTTCCTTCTGTTCCAACGCACCTGAAATCCCTTTTCCTCTTCTGTTTTTTCACCACCATCTAATAGACAATCCTTTTGCCACCACCTTCCAACTCTGAACTCCATGTCCTTTTCAAGGTTACCACAGGCTTGAAAGGCTTGCTCTTCTCCAAGGGTGCTTCCCATGGGATTCTTTCCTCTCATCCAGCAGGACAGCCATTTTTGACAGTTAACAGAAGATTTCTGAACAACTTGCCACATCAAAACCATGTTACGCCTTAACACAATGTGTGAATCCAGGCTTTGTAAGTGGGTTGACATGATGTTCCTGGAAGACTTCTCCAGTGTTATAAAATTGGAGCAATGGGGGCTTATCATAAGAGTAAGGGTACTAAGCAGCATAACGTAGCTTGTTTGAAAAGCTTAATGCAATGTGTGGACCCACCCACTAGGGTGTGCTATATGTAAAGGAGGTGATTGTGATTTTTTCAACAAATCATGACTAAAATATTCTTAATATTATAAGTGATAGTGAATCTACAGGGATCACGGCATACAACAGTCTGATAGGAATTCATAACAGTAAATTTATTTGTCTCTATATACAAATACAGCCACAGGCTGCCACATTAAATTACTTTACAGCCCTTAGTAAAAACACATTCCAACACACAAATCACCAAGTATTCTGAAAGTATCTCTTTCCTAACGCTGTAGGGAACCTGCCCCACCTCTTACAGAAGGAATGAATTTATCTCTACCTTTTTCTGAGCCTTGCTGCAGGATCCAGGTCATAGAAGACCTCAGATTGCAGCTTTCATGAATTAACCAGATCGGCAAAATCCATATGGAAGTTCTAAAGCCTGAACAGCCAAACCCCAGGAATACACGCCTATGAAGCATCATGTTTAACACCCAGCAACGTACATCCTGACCTGTGTGTGGTATCATTTAACACACAGAAGCATCCTCTTCCTCCCTCAATCCATTGGAATCAATCTCTTCCTCCCGACTAATTGAAGGGGGAAAGGGATGGCCTTGATCAAGGTTGACGTAAGTGACATTGAGGTTAATGTAATGGTCTCCCTTTAGACAGACTACAATGTGCTCCACCTCTGTGATCAGGCTGGAAAAAGTTGGCCGCTCCTCAGGATTTGGTGTCCAGCAGTTAAGCATTATGGTGTACCTGTCCAAAATAAGCAGAGTGAATTAGAGCTGTAAAAATATCAGACTTGGCCCTGTACCTTCACATCACAGAATACCGCAGTCACGTTCACCCAGGATCTACTTCCTCAACATTCTCAGAGTATCTAAGGGCAGAGACTCTCTTCGGTTCTGCACTCTATTCTTATCTCTTCAGTTTTCATTCCTAAAGACCCTGGTCAGAGGCTTTATATACCAGCTCCTTTCTGCTGTTCCTAAGAACCCCAGACACAGCAGGTGAACATGGGCCAGGTGGAGGTGGAAGCATAATGACGCTATGCTGGAACTGGGAGCCCAATGGGAAACACTGGCATTGGAACATATGGAAAATGGGCCCAACAGATTGTAATGGGGAGTGCAAAAAGGGGAAGAATATGGTGAGATCATGATGATCATAAGAACTCCATGCAATGTTGCAGCTTTTCCTAAGTTAGTCCAGATGTGGCTGGAATTTAAGAGATACAGCATTAGTACTTCAGTAGGCTAATAGTTTGGGGAAAGCTGCAGTAAGAGCACAAGTTTGGATTTTAGGGAACTAAGACTGAAGAACTATTAACTTTCCCACTATGCTTTCTTTTTCTTTTTTTAGTTAATGAATTGCAGTATTTAATTGAAATTTACAAATTAGTTTATCAATTAAAGTTCAGGAATCAGAGACCTTCTCCAGTGAGTCCCATACAGCTTCATCTCTTTCACAGTTCTCTCCTTTGCTAGGGTAGCAGAAGGGTCTTATTGAATACTCACAGAGAATCTGGGCAGTACTCAGGCTGGGGCAACCTTCTTCCTTGCAACAAGTAGCAGGTAATATCATAGGGATCCACCTCAGGGTATGGAGAGGCCCCTCGTGTCATCAGTTCCCACATGAGGACCCCGAAGGACCACTGGGTAAGACAGCAGAACAGATCAATGGAGAAAGTACAAATGTCAGTATGAATTGGACACAGAGAAAGTACAAGCAGTCACTAAGGCAGGTGAAATCTTCTCCAGTCAGACTGTTCCTTCTCTGCAAATTGCATAGTGGAAAGGACCCTATTGAATATGCATGTTTTTCTGAGATTAACATAAATTGGAGTCCAAGTAGATTCTCATACTGAGAAATGAGCGCTAAGTTCCTGGTTAGAAAGCTTACACAGCAGATGCTTTCATAATGGCCTTTTTTGCATATCCCTCACATGAAATTATGGCTGTGTTGTCACAACACATTAACGAATCATGGCATATCCAATTAATCCCATTTTGTGGGCTGCACAACACTACAAACCATCATCTACTTACAACATCTGGGTTCACACAAAACACTAACATGGGGTTGGCTAATTTGTGGTTCATTGTTTCCTGAGAATCCAGCCAACGTGGCCAGGACAAGAAGAGCTGGAGGCAACGGTTTAGCATCCTGGCCTTCAGATGCCCTTGCTTGCACTTACTACATCAGACTTGGTGGTAAATTTTTGGGTTTGCAGGCTCTCAAGGGCCATCCATTTGACAGGCAGCTTTGCCCCGCGGTGTTGCCGGATGCTGTAATATTCCTTGTCAAAGATATCTCTGGCCAGCCCAAAGTCTGCCACCTTCACTGTAAAGGTCTCATCAAGCCTGGATTAAAAAAAGAAGACAGAGATTAGGAGCAACACAGCAGTCTTGTGAACTCATCTCGTTTGGCACCACAAGGAAGCATGCTACAAAAACCAGGCTGTCCCAGTAAGCCATAATAGAGATTATTGCTTGGGCATAGCATGTCATGTGAACACGGCAATTATATCTGTTAACCCAGATTTAGGCTTTAACTTGTTATATGCATTCAGACAGTGGCTGTTTGTACAACTTATTTAACCACATCGGCTACAACCCTAGCATATATGCATCAAGCTAAGCTTGGTTAATTTTAACCTTAGTTTGTTCTTTGTGGCTCAACATACTGTGTAGACCAAACCCTTTTGGTTAACTTATTGATCAGTGTCTTGTTCAAAATCACAGAATTGGAGATTCTGAAGGAGGCATTTAATCCTTCAAGTCCAGTTGCCTGTTTAGTGCTGGAGGGTAGAGGGGTACCACATTGCTGGGTCAGTAGTTCCACTGTCAAACTGCAGGACATTTTTCCTAATATTCTGGTGTCTTGTCACCTCAATCCATTATTCAGCGTATTACTCTATAAGGGTATAAGAAAACCGGTCTTGACCCTTTTCTGTGTTATGCTGTCTCAGATACTGGAAAAGTGTTAGCATATCATCCCCGTCCCCCCCAGACTAAACATCTCCAGTTCCTTCAAGCACTCTTCACAGGATTTTCTTTCTATTTATCAGAAGATAAATTAATTTGGTCAGAAGATTAAGCATCTTGTATGAATGCAACGTATCTGAAGGAAAACAAACTGACACAAGGGAGGAGTGGAAACAAACTAGCTCGAAAGCTATTTCTGATAGACTGTTCCCATGGCTAGTCCTATGGCCAGGGATCTTTCCACACTGGCACCTGCTCCCAGCACAAACAAGCCTCAGCGACCTCTTTTGCTTGTCCTTGCCCAATTCCCCATGTTTTATGATTCTGTGCAGACCCACCCGTGCTCATACTTACATGCAGTTTCTAGCTGCAAGATCTCTGTGCACAAACTTCTTCTGGGCCAGATATTCCATCCCCCGAGCCACTTGCAGCCCAAAGCCTATTAAATCCTTCACAGTGGGGTTCTGATGGAAAAAAGAAACAGACAAAACTGCTTGACACTGAGGAAACTCACAATGAGATTTCCATCTGGCTTTGAAGTTTATGCACCTCGAGGGAGCTGAACTGCCTGCTTGTGGTTCCCACAAGCCAACCCAGCTGAAGTTAATTTCAAGGCTGCTTCATATATTGGACAAATCTTCTAAGAAATTTGGCTAAGAAACTGAGTGTATCCCATTCACATATTATGACAGATGACAAAGAACCCATGGCTAGAAATATAAACAGTGGAATTGGGGCCAGGGGAGTCTTCTCTGCTTTGTACGCACATGGCAGAACAGACACTTGCTCACTGCTTGGCAAGACAGGCATAGGACATGCATAATAGAGTACCCAGAATTGATACTGGTGCAGAAGGGCCTCCTGAAGTTTCCGCTGTAGCTTACAACCCTCTATTTCACGGTGTGCCTGCATGGCCCCCTAGTGGCCAGAGGCATTCACTGCCTTGCCATATACTTAAAGGAATTTATGTCCCATGTTTAACATATCATACTGCCCTTTTTCCATTTAACGTGATCTTGGATTTGCACATAATAGCTGCGAGGAAAAGTGGGGAGAAACCTTGCTGTTATCAGCTAAACGTTTTGTTTTTTTTTAATGTTGCACTCCTCTGAAAAGGGTGGCTGATGTGTAAACGCTCAAAGCCACCTGCAAGGGAAAATATCCATTTTTATCAAGCAAGGGGGAGGCATTTTTGAGCTGATTGGCAGTACATCACAAGTGGCAACTGACAACTGCCTAATATTTCACACTATGTTTACAACAGGAATGAAATGAGCTGGTTGGGGCTGAGGAGCAGAAGAGTTAAGTTGGGAATTATTCCTTTTTCTAATGCCCAACTGCAATAAAAATAATATGAGGGAAGGCTTATATGGACAATATGGACAATTGTTTGAAAATACCTTTGTGAGAAAAACATTGCCTCCCCTCTGAAGTCTAGCTCCTGGAAGCTAGCTGGAAAGGGCCTAACAGCTTGGACTCTGCTAAAAGAATTTCAGATCCTGTGTACTATCATTTGCTACATTTATAAGATAATTTTGCTACAGCCACAGCAAGCTTTGACAGATATAACTGCTCAGATTACAGATTCAGTAAGGATAGCCACTTTCTGACAATCTGGTATTTCAGACCTCTGAAAACCCTGCCGTGAAAGATCTGCATCCATCAAACATTATATTGTACGTTATACTACATGTCACGTAAATAAAGAAAAAATCACTCCCCCATAGAAAATAGCAAGACGTTGTGGATGATAAAAATTAACTTATTTGATTAGAGAAAGATCAATAACTACAGTTACTAGTGATTGGAAACCCCGTATGGACTTTTTGCTGAAAAAAGAGAAAAATGAACTTGTGATTTATGGGTCTGAAGATTAGAAAGAGTAGCTTATGGAAAGAAGGAAATTATGATGTAACCTTAGAGAGAGAGGGCAAGATATAAATGTATCTATAACCACTGTCAAGATCAGAAGCCACTTCTTTAGAATTTCTCTTTTCCTTTCCTTTCCTTTCCTTTCCTTTCCTTTCCTTTCCTTTCCTTTCCTTTCCTTTCCTTTCCTTTCCTTTCCTTTCCTTTCCTTTCCTTTCCTTTCCTTTCCTTTCCTTTCCTTTCCTTTCCTTTCCTTTCCTTTCCTTTCCTTTCCTTTCCTTTCCTTTCCTTTCCTTTCCTTTCCTTTCCTTTCCTTTCCTTTCCTTTCCTTTCCTTTCCTTTCCTTTCCTATATTTCTTTTTCACTTTCTTATTACTTTATTCTTCTTTAATTCACAATTTGTACTGTTTTTAATTCTGTTGAAAAACTTCAATAAAAATTATTTTAAAAAAAGAAAATAAAATAGCAAGACATTTGCAATGTAACTCTGTGTGGATACCCATGACTTACTCATATACAAGGTTCACACATCATGCTAAGCCATGCTCTGCCCAAATCAATTATAATTGGTTGGATTCACACTAAGCCAAGACCACGTTAACCACATTTTGGGCTTGGCATGATGTGCGAACCAAGCCACAATCACTTGTCACACACTTGACAAGTGGCATGAGAGTTTCCTGCTTTCTCTCACATCGACTCTTTGATGGCCACACCACAGGCAGTGAAAATATTAAACTGGGACCCACCACTTCCCTTAGATAAAGGCACTTTTCGAGGAGGTGATCTGCAATGGAGAATGTGCCCTTTCCCCTGCTTCTTCTTAGCTCCAAGCTCAGGAAGGCAGGATGTGTCTCAAACATCCACACACCCTTAGAAAGCACTTAATCCTAAATGGATATTAGCCATCATGAGCCATTGTTGGATCTCACAGAATAAAAATAATTAGCAAAATTGCAGGGAGGGGCTGGGGTGGGGTCAATCCAGAAAGCTGCACTGGCCAGGAGGAATCTTTTTCTGGAATATTAACAGAAATCTTGGTTTTTCTGCCTCATTCATTATATCAATAAACTCTGTGTACATAGAAGTTAGATTGGGGGCAGAAGAGAAGCCTGCCAACAGTAAGAATGCTACCTCTGTTTGTTTCCCCAGAGGAAAAAGAAGAGACTGTAAGATCCCAGCAACGTTCAGCCACTAGTTCTGTGCTGACTAAGACGGAGGAAGCTGCATCAGACATCTGCTCACGTTCCTACTGTTCTAGCAGTCTCAGAGTCAGCAGAAAGACCCAAAGCAAAACAATCTCTCTTCTGAGAGCCTGAAGCCCCCATATCTTGTTTCATCGGCAGAAAGTACCACTGATAAGAAGGCTGGTTTGCTTGTGTGAAATGCCTTGGCTGAAACCTGACCTAAAAGATTTAGCTAACAAAGTCTAGAACGCTGCAGGATAGATGTAGGCATTTTCTGTCCGCTGCACCCAGAAGCCAGCCCCACTATTCGTATCAGTATGGTGAGTTTTAACAGGAAGAATGTGCAAAGCCTGTACTGATTCACTAGAAGGCTCAATGAACTGGGTATGTGCGCAGGGAGGAGTATGTCACAAACAAAACAAAAACACACCGCAGCTGAAAGAGAAAAGAAAGGGCTGAATGCATCATCTCTGGGTAAGCCCTTCCTTAAAACCAAGGTTGTTTTGCCAAGATGAGACAAATGACTCCAGCTCAAGGGGAGATTCAGAAAGAGGAATGTGGCTGGTATAGAGTAGACTGTCTCTCAAAGCAAGGACCCCAAGAGCTGGCACCACATACCCTCTGCTCTGAACGGATAAAATGTCGGAGGTCTCCATGCTTCATGTAAGGTAGCACCACCAGGGGGAGACCCTCCTTAGGCAAGGTGATCCCAATGAGAGAGAGGACATGGAGGTGATGGAAGCTCTTCATCAGAATCCCCTCCTTCAGGAATTCTTCCACTTCCTCCAAGTCAGTAATTCCTAAGAGGAAACAATGAAGAAATTGGAGCAATATTCTCATTTGCAACTGTTTTTCTTCTCCAAGACTCAAGGAATTGTGAAACTGCAGGCAAAAGTATCCCAGAAGTGATCTTGCAAGCATACAAGCTGGAGCATCCAATCCTAGGACAAAACAGTGCGTTGGGTCTTATGGGAAGGAGAGAGACACTGTAAGCTGACTTTCCTCACTTCCACCAAGTGGAGAATGTCTGCTGATATGAATAAGGATGGAAGGTATTGCCAGAGTGAAAAACAAACAAACATTATAATGTTGAATTGGGTTGGCTCATAGGCATCTCTACTTTCTAAGTCTGAAGGAACCAACAAAGGATGAATGGCTCCAGGGATTGCCTTGTGTTGATTTAAGCAATTCAGATTATTAGAAACAGCATATCCTTTCCTTTCCTAGGCCAACCCTTAATTTAGAACTAGTTCCTTCTCTCCTTAAGAGCTTCCCCAGAGAAAGTCCTCCTCCTGCCCCCTTTCTGGTCAGCTGGCTACACTGCCACCAGCAGCTACAAAGTGTGGCAGAGCCTGAAACTGCCACTGATTGTTGCTGGCTGAAGGAGAAAACACTACTTTAATACTGGCACATCTAAGCATGACTTAAGGCTGCCTCAGACATGAACTGAGGATGAGCTGAAGACAACCCCAGGGGGACATGGAGGAATACTGTTATTGCCAAGAGATGTTTGTACAGTGACAAGACAAAGTGGGGATAGGCCCTAAAGCTGTCTTATCGTACTGCGGTACAGAACAAGCTGAAGAAGAATGCATACAATCACAGTGCTCTCCAGCATCACTTTTCCCTCCTCAAAAGTCATCTCAGGGTTTATCTGGTAATAAAACTGCCAGACTTTACCTTTCATACAGCATGTGCACTAGCTCCAGATGCATGATGCCTCTTTGTTCAGAGTAGTGGTACTGACTTCTCATTGGATAAAACAAGCAAGCAAGCAAACAGGACAGCACTGACGTTTGTGGAAGTCATGTATGCCAAGATGGAAGAGACCGTCTTTATAGAATTTATTTATTTATGCATGCATGCCTTTGAGTTAGTGTTGACTCCTGGCAACTGCCTGGACAAGTCCCTGCAGTTTTCTTGGGAAGATTTCAGAAGTGGTTTGTCCTTGCCTCCTTCCCAGGGCTGAGAGAGAGTGACTGGCCCAAGGTCACCCAGCTCGCTGTGGCCTAAGGTGGGGCTAGAACTCAGGGTCTCTAGCCTGGTGCCTTAATCATTACACCAAACTGGCTCTTTACAGATTATGAAATACTATTTTTTGAACACACAAGACATTATCATGTCTCATACTATCATGAGGCTCTGTTCCCTTGATCTCTTTTCCAGGCCAATAATCAGAGCCACAGTTTCATGAAAGGAAGAGGAATTACTTACGGTTTAGAGATTTAACAGCACACCGTATCTCTCTCTGGGACGAATCTATGTAAGTACCATGATAAACACTCCCAAAATGCCCTGGATGGAAAAAAGAACAAGCTTTACACATAATGCACAAGCACCAGTATGGACATTAGGAAACTCAGCACAACCTGCTGGATGCAACATGGATGCTATACAGCCTCTTTCTGTGCTGGTAATGTCTTAAGATCAAACAATTACACTGTAGGACTACCAAAATACAATTGTTTTAAGCTTTAAAAATAAATGTGAAATAAAAGATATTAGATTTTTCTTACTGTCAGGGAAGAAAAGCACTGCACTAACCAACAGAGAACCCAGTGCTAACACAATTTATACCCAGTTATATTTATACCCAATCATATTATTTGACTTAACAATACAAATTTATTGTCTCAGTTTTAAGGTATCTAATTTGTTTCAAAAAATTTCCAATTTAGTATGCCTATACACCATCATGCTTTTGCCTAATCCTAAGTGTTTGTATAGCCACGTGCAGTTGCACACAAAAGTTTAGGTACTTTTAAACACATCTTTGTGTATACGGGTAGTCCGCAGTTTAAGAATGAGTTCCGTTCCCAAGGTCTATCCTTAAGTTGAATGTGCATGTAAGCCGGAATTATTATTGTATAATACTGTATAAGTAGTATTGTGTAATGAACTCGCACCATTGAGTATTTAACTCGAATCATTGTGTATTTAACTTGAATTCTGCTACAATAGGCTCTGCTGTTAACTATGGGTTGTCTGTAAACTGAGCGTTCTTAACCTGGGGACTACCTGTATTTGAATGCATACTTATTATTTATGCACAGTTATTTACCGATTCAAAATAAGAAAATAGAGAATATGGTAAGTGCAGAAGTCTGGGCACCCTTCCAGTTGATTTGATGCTACTTTTTCTTTTTTTTCTGTACTGTAAACCTGTTAATAAGGTTAAAAAGGTGATTGATTTTTTTAGGCTAACAATTAGCCAGGTGAAGACAGTTGCACAGGTAAACAAATTCTCTGCCCCTTCTAACCTTTCAGATTGTGACTGTAATTGTTATTCTGCCTACTTTCAACAACTGTGGGCTCTTCTAATCAGTTCTCAGTGCATTTGCAAATGAAGATAATTCATTCTTACAAAGCAAAGGAAAACTGTAAAAAAAAAACCTCTAAGCACTTCCAGCTAGCAATTCCCACTGTCAAAACCATTGTTAGGCAATGGAAATTACATGGAATAGATGTAAGGCAAGGCAAGATCTGGAAGACCAAGAAAATATCTGCTAGAAATGAACGAAGATTTTGTCATATTTAAAACCAAGTAATAGGAATGGAATGGGAATACTTGAAATAAAAATAGGAATTTAGGAAGTATAGTCATTTTAATCATTTCTGTCCAATGAAAGCTATTACCCTGACTTAAATTCCATTCTAATCTTGGGGAGAAGAGATCATAATTATTTTTTAAAACTGATGTCAATGTTTTGTAATATTTACTAATTAGATACTTTTATCATTTTTTTCTACATGATGGAACCTAAACTCTGTGAAGTGCTACACTCCTGTTAACAACCATTACTTAACATAATTTCTGTTCTTAAAGTTTTGACCTGGGACGTGGATTAAAATGATGTGCTGTAAAAAGAGACATTTAATTCAAAGAGATATGATATTCTAAATTTGATATGAACTGAAGTTTAAACAGTCCAGGATTATCTTCTGTAACTTCACAGGCCTATAATGATCTACAGACTGAAGGAATGAGAAACTTTAAAAGATAGAAGGACTAGGCATTCCTTGACATGATGACGCAGTGGAATTAACGGAGTGGCTGGAATGTATGTGAAATGAAGAGAAATGAAAGAACTGAGGCCTAGTTTAACTAAGCAAATCCATCTGTCTTCAAAGAAGCCACTTTGGAAATGGCTTCTAAAATGAAAAACAGTAAACAAATTTGGTCTGTTTAAAAATAACAAATAATTAAAAACAATGAGAAAAGAGTTGAGTCTGACAAACATTTCCCGATCCTGATGCTTAATCTTGTTGGGCTGAACTGAAAAATAGATATTTGTGCTTAAGAGCAGTGAGATATACTGTACTGCCTTTCAAGTTAATTTAGATGGCAGTGAAGTCCTCTTTTGGACAAATCAGAGCCAGGGGGAACAGCCCCCAAACATTTCTCTGAGCACCTTGGAATATAGCACAAAATGGTCCAGTTTGGTGCAGTGGTGAAGGCACCAGGCTAGAAAACAGGAGACTGTGAGTTCTAGTCCTGCCTTAGGCATGAAAGCCGGCTGGGTGACTTTGGGCCAGTCACTCTCTCTCAGCCCAACCCACCTCACAGGGCTGTTATTGTGGGAAAAACAGGAGGAAGAAGGAGTACAGTGGAACCTCAGTTTACGAACTTAATTCGTTCCATGACTCTGGT